AAGTGTGTGCCAATCACAGGGTCACTTAGGGCTTCATCAAGACACTGGGTCCTTGGAGGGGCCGCGTGGTCCCCGGGTGGGCGCCTGGATGTGAGCGCAGAAGCCGAGGTAGAGTCCCAGCCGGGATCCCCTGCGCCAGAGAGGGACCCCCAGCCCGGGGTTGTCCCCCCCCATGGCAGGGGATGGGGAGAAGGGGGGGTCGCTCACTCTCCCAGCTGAGAGTTTAGCACCAAGCTCCTATGGAGGGTCACCCCTCCATGTGGCTTTAAGGCTGACAAGCCTCTGGCCGTAGGGATGGATCCCAATTTGGCACGGCAGCGATGCCGCGAGCACCCTTGGTGTGTGTGGGGTGGTGGTGGTGGCAGGGGGGGGACACCAGTGCTCCCTCCCTCCCTCCCTCCCTGGAGGGGAAAAGGCTCCTCGGTGTGTTTGCAGGGAGCAAAATACCAGCCCCGGGAAGGCCCCGAAAGGATAAAGTGCCTTTCAACACCCTAAAGAACACGTCAGCATCACCCGTTACAAACAGCGTTACACCCGAATGCAGACCTAGTACAGACAACAGCTGGTAACACAGTGCCATGGAGAGCATATATAAATAGAGACTAACAAAAATACTGTTTTGGTCTTTTTTTTTTTTTTTTTTTTTTTTTTTTTTTTTTTTTTCTTTCTTCCAGTAGGGTTGCGATGGCGTGAGAGCCGAGCCCAGGTGCCCCCAGGGGTGGCAAGACCAGGAGCTGCCCCACTCGGGTTTCGGGGTGGGGGGGAGCCCGTGGGAATGGGCACTTCCTAATTCAGCATTAGGTGTTTGGTGATTCGCATCACCCGTCCAGTATTTTAGGAGGAAAAACAAACCCAGGAAAACCCCAAAGGTACTGAGCAGATACCACTGTGCAAAGTTTGCTAAGGAACTACTTTTTCTATTCTGTAAACCAAAATCTGCAGTTTATGCTTCCAGCCAGCCCCCGGGGGGACAACAGCCCGCTGGTGCTGGGGGTGGGCTGGATGGAACCCCTCACCCAGCACGGGCTTGCTCTGTGTGTCCCCCACGTCCCCCCCCCCACACCATCTCCTCCCAGGTACAGCAGCAGGACCAGCCTTGGGGCAGGACCCACCGCTGTGGTCCAGGATGCTCCTCCAGAGCCAGAAGCACCAGGAGGGACGGAGGGACATGAGGAGCGCTGAGGCTCCATGAGATGAAAGGCTGAGGCTTTCCAGATAGGATCACCCTAAAAAAAAAATCATTTCCAGGTGCACGGTGAGGAGGAGGAGGAGGAGGCGGGGCAGGGGGTTGGGTTGGCTTGCTGGCCCTTCTTGGGGACACGTGCCACCACACGCCAGCCCCGTCCCCAGGGATGCTGTGATATGTAAGGTCACCTCTTAGGGCTCGGCTGGGGATGAATCCTGCCCCAAAAACCAGGAGGGGAGAGAAGCTGATGGGGGGAGTTGGGGGGGAGCCGGGGGGAGCCCAGCACCATCGCTCTGCCCCTGGTGGGATGGGGTGGGATGGGGTGGGGGCTCTGGGGGACACTGGCAGCACAGACCCAGGCGGTGCCAGTGCTGA